CGACAAGTCTTGAGTTTTGAGTCTTGAGTCTTGAGGAATTCTGTGTCTTGAGGAATCCTGAGTCTTGAGAAGTCCTGAGTCTTGACTAGTGGTGAGTTTTGATAAGTCTTGAGTCTTGAATCTTTATGAGTCTTGAGGAGTCCTGAGTCTTGAGGAGTCCTGAGTCTTGAGAAGTCCTGAGTCTTGGCAAGTGGTGAGTTTTGACAAGTCTTGAGTCTTGAATCTTTATGAGTCTTGAGGAGTCCTGAGTCTTGAGAAGTCCTGAGTTTTGGCGAGTGGTGAGTTTTGACAAGTCTTGAGTCTTGAATCTTTACGAGTCTTGAGGAGTCCTGAGTTTTGAGGAGTCCTGAATCTTGAGGAGTCCTGAGTCTTGGCGAGTGGTGAGTTTTGACAAGTCTTGAGTCTTGAATCTTTACGAGTCTTGAGGAGTCCTAAGTTTTGAGGAGTCCTGAATCTTGAGGAGTCCTGAGTCTTGGCGAGTGGTGAGTTTTGACAAGTCTTAAGTCTTGAATCTTGATGAGTCTTGAGGAATCCTGAGTCTTGAGAAGTCCTAAGTCTTGACAAGTGTTGAGTTTTGACAAGTCTTGAGTCTTGATTCCTGATAAGTCTTGAATCTTGAGTCTTTAAAGTTTTGATACGTCTTGAAAGTCTTGAAAGTTTCGATATGACTCGAAAGCTCGATGAGTACTCAATATCTTGCAAGCATTCTGAATGTCTTTGTCCAAACAGTGTCATTGGCATAAAATATTAAAGATATCGAATACTCTCCTGTAAGATATTAAATACTCACCAAACTTTCAAGACTTCCAAAACTTTTAAAATCTATCGGAACTTCAAAGACTTGTCAAGATTTTCAGGAGTTTCAAGTATCGAATTAGGTTCGAAGTGATTCGAATGTTCACAGTTTTGAAAATTCCATTCGAAGAAGTTGCATTTGAAAAATCGTAGACGTAAAGAAAATCGAAATACAAACACCACTGTAAATCTCGAAAAGAATTATTTTTCCACATAAACTCGTCGCTAGTTAAATCATATTATGTCATCAGCTTTACTTTTCAGTTGCGAAATATCGAATTACACGTACATATATCTGTTATTTTAGAATTATTTAACAAACATCCCGTACACAGAAAATTGAATATTTACATTACAAAAATTAGGTACATAGTCGCTTTTGTGATTGTATTTCCTTTTACATCTGCACCACTTTTCTTCTTGTAATTTTCGCGCATCTTTTGTCGAAGCGTGTCTTACTAAATTAAGATTCCTATTTTAATTTCTGTTTCAGGTAAGATTTCTGGCCTCTTTGACTCCGTTTCCTTTGGCACGCGAGCGGCCCGGTAAGTTAATTAAATTTCTCTTAGCGTCGTTGCTTTTTCTACTATTAGCGCTATAATTAAAAAAGCAAACAAAATTTGTGTATCTGCCAGTACAGCACGTATTATTGCGAAAGCTTCATTGCCACTCGAGTAATATTTTAAAACGTCCACGCTAAACGAATCTCAGATCGTAGTGATATTATATCGTTGTTCATTTTCTTCTCTACGGATTTTTCACGATGTCAACGATGTTTTTTTTTTTTTTCATTCATGTTACTTCGATGAGAAATTTTGAGAATTCAGAGGTAGATCTGTGCATCTCTATGAATTCATGAAAGTTTTATCGAACGAATTTCAATTTTCTAGGAATTGCGGCGAATTTGCAATTTTTTCAATTCTCTGGAGACATTAACGAATTTTCGAACGTATTCGCGTTGGTCTTCAAGGAATCAGCGGGAAGAATTTTTCTATGGGAAATTAATTTTTTGATGAAAACAAATTTTCAATAATTATATGTATTTAATATTTAAATTTTACGAAAGAAGTATTTTTAATTTTCTGCGAAAATTAATCAATTCTCCAACGTAATCATTTCTAAAGTACTTTCATTCTTCGGAAAGAAAGAATAAATACACAATAAGCAAAGCGAAAAAAAGGAACTAAAATATTCTCCGTAGAAATAAAGAACAGACAAATCGTGAGTCTGTTTGAGCGATGCAACAAGAATCTCCAGTTCGAAAATCCGAGCTTCTTGGACGTGAAGGACGCCGAAAAACGACGCTTAAGACACGAAAGACTGCCTCGTTAATTAGAGGTGGCCGTGATCTCGAAGAGCCGCGACGCCTAGTAATTATTTCATTTGCCACTTCTCGATTTGACAGTAATTAACGAGGCCACTTGGCCGAGCGAGCATTAGCGCGTCAGACGTGAAGTCAGCGCCATTCTTCCCCTTGTTTAACCTTCGTTCCACCTTATGATACCGCGGTCGCGTTTAATTAACGATACCCGCCCCTCTTTCCCGTTTTATCCCCTCTAAAGAGGGAATTAGCAGATTCCTGCTCGTTCGTCCTGATGTTCCTTTCGAGAAGTTTCACGGCTTTTCACAAATTTGCTTTCTTTGAAAATTGCAGGGCAAAGTGGAGCACAGTGTTGTTTCCATGACGTGTATTCCATTGTTTTTCTAGGCTGGTTCAATAAAATCAGAGTGTAAAATTGGTTCAGTCTTTTAGAAACTTTTCAGTTTATTCTCGAATTTTCGTAAAATCTGTCTAAATGATAGTGACACTTTATAATTCTATTTTATGTCTTAACCGTTTGAGTACCAGAGGTTTTTCAAAAAACACGGTCGAAAAAAGCCGAACAGCGCAATAGCGCTTTCTGTATGGGATGCGTAAAGATCGAAGCGGCGCGATGGCGCTCCTTTTATTCTGTGTCGAAAAATGCTAAGCAGCGCGATAGCGCTTCTTTTATTTCATGTCGAGAAAAATTTTTCATATTTTTAATTTGTAACTTATTATTTCATGAAATACTATTATATATATATAGAGAGAGAGAGATTGTGAGTGCGCCGTCAGTTGTCCGTATCGTTCAAATGCGCTGGGTTTTTCCGACATGAAATCTGAAGAGCGCAAAAGCGGCGCGTGGGACTCGAACGGTTAATATTCCGTTTAAAGGTTGTCTGCAACTATCGAACTGTGAAATAATAGAAAATTTTTAAGTAGAATATTAAGACGTAGCAGTAGTTATTAAAAATAGTAAAAATAAGGATTGAAATCTTAAACTGTTGCCTGTGAAGTCCCCAAATTAATTACACTCTATTCTTCTTTATGAAATTTTTATTAAATTCATACCGTTTCCTTGCCCCTGTCCTGCCCCCTTAATGCAATATGTGCAGAGTGTCCTACGGAAGTATCGCCACGAAATTTTAGAACTTTCGAGCAATATTTAAATGTGCATAACTTGAACATTAAAACTTTGTGAAATTGCAGTATTTTAAAAGTGTTTCAAGTAAATTTCATTTCTAATTTGAAACACTTCGAAAAACGTGTCCACGTGGTTACCGTGTGAATCAAAGGGTTAACCTGTGGAAAAATGCTTCGATGCAAATTCCTCCGTTTTCCCCCTTTCGTTTAAATAATTCCTACGTAAGCCTTGAAGCTTGCAAGCTTCTGTACATCAAAATCAATGTTTTCTTCGGAGAGAATTGTTCAGTTGACACTTCGCGCAATTGAAATTCAAATCTTTATGCAAAGGTTGCAGTTACCGTCAACGTTCAACGCGTTTCAACTCTATATTTAGAGGCTCGAACGCGAAGTTTCGCATTATTCTCGGTCTACGGACGTATTAAAAATGCAGCGTTCCTCGAGGCCGGCGATTAGCGTGCCGCGAAAAGCTTAAGGGCGCTCATTATTGTCGTATCGCATAATTACAGGGGAACGGTACGCTTGAACCGTTCAATTTCACGAGTGTCATTTTTTCACGGACCAAGCCGTGTAATTCGCCATTTTCTCTTCTGTTATCTTGTAATTAGTTTAGGATGAAAAGATCCTTGAAATGTATAGTAATCGTCGAGTTACCTCCACTCGACATTTTTCTTTTTAGAGAGAAATTTGCAGGTTGTTTCTTCGATGGAACGTTTTATCGAACATTTTTCTTAAACTGTGATAAATGGCGATGTACTGACACTTTCTGGGTGTGTTTCGTTTAATTTTTCTACCTTCGCGGAAGATTGAAAGGTGTTGGAATTTTTTATTTATTGGATGAAGGAAGTTCTTCGAAATTTCAAAGAAATAATTTCTTCAGAACTTCTTTCCAGAGGTTCTTTAGAAATTAAATTTCTTTTAGAGAGGACATTTGAACAGGTGAAAATATTTTTGGGAGTCAAATACTGAAAATTTGTCGATTAAAGAAATGAGTGTCGCAAAATAATAGAAATTATGCGGTGTCTTCTAAGATAATGATAAAAACAGAGAAGTACTTTGCTAATGTTAATACTAGACACATTCATTGATTAAGAAAATATATAAAAATAAGATTCACTAATTAGAAATGTTGCAATTACTTTGTGTTTTTTTCTCAAAGATATGGCATCTTGTATTCGAAAACATTCACTTATCTCCAAAAATATTTTACAAAGTTATATTCTGTGTTTCAGTTTTTCTAAAAAGTATGCATAATATTATGCAATTCTCTTCTAACGATCAGATAACAAACTGTCATTCAAATTACCAATCAGTAATTTCACAAGATTAATAAAAATCAGGGAACTTCGAACTATTCACCGCTGTGCGCTGTTTTCTTCGAAAAAGCTCACAGAACATCATCTTAAATTTTCAAAAGTCAAAAGCAATCTTTCTGCAAAAAATCCTGCTCTCGTTTGTCCAGACCGGATAATCAGGTTACAACTTTCGAGGGAGACGATTGCTCGAGTGTCCTCGTGGCCGTCGAGGGTGAATCGGTTCGTTGTGCAATCGATCCTGATCAACGCCGTTCGTTTCTGAACAATCAGAGCCTGCAAGAACCCATCGAAGGTGCTCATGGTCCCGTCGTTTTTCCTCGAGGACTACCATCGTCTGATCACCCCTTCGAATTTCGATTCTTTCCCTCGTTCACTTCCGCTTTTCACCCCTTGCCATTTTCGAACAATCGCAATCTCGGTCTTGGGCAAACAGCTCGTGAAGTATGTGCTTGAAGAACGAATGGTAATATTGTTTTCCAGTGTTTCTCTTCTAGTTTCACCGTTTTCTGGTTATTTGGATTGATCGAGTCTTTAGAATAGCTAATTTATTTATTTTTTTTTAGGATTGAGAAATTACGAATTCTGATAAATTGCTATAATAGGAAATTTAATTTAAAATTCGAGAACAGTTTTACCATTTTATGGTTATTTGGATTGGTCGAGTCTTTAGAATAGTTAATTTATTTATTTTTTTTTAGGATTGAGAAATTACGAATTCTGATAAATTGCTATAATAGGAAATTTAATTTAAAATTCGAGAACAGTTTTACCATTTTGTGGTTATTTGGATTGGTCGAGTCTGGAGTACCTAATTTATTTATTTTTTTTATTAGGATTGAGAAATTACGAATTCTGATAAATTGCTATAATAGGAAATTTAATTTAAAATTCGAGAACAGTTTCACCATTTTGTGGTTATTTGGATTGGTCGAGTCTGGAATAGCTAATTTATTTATTTTTTTATTAAGATTGAGAAATTACGAATTCTGATAAATTGCTAAAATAGGAAATTTAATTTAAAATTCGAGAACAGTTTTACCATTTTATGGTTATTTGGATTGGTCGAGTCTGGAATAGCTAATTTATTTATTTTTTTATTAAGATTGAGAAATTACGAATTCTAATAAATTGCTAAAATAGGAAATTTCATTTAAAATTCGAGAACAGTTTCGCCATTTTGTGGTTATTTGGATTGGTCGAGTCTTCAAAATAGCTAATTTATTTATTTTTTTATTATGATTGAGAAATTACGAATTCTGATAAATTGCTATAATAGGAAATTTAATTTGAAATTCGAGAAACTATTTGTTAATTGTTGTATACAAAATAATTTACTTTCCTATGTTTTTCTTTTAGCCTGGCTGATTAGTAATGTCTTAGTAAAGTCTTAGCCTGTTAATTTTGGGGAAATTATGAATTCTGACAATTTCCAAAAACAGGAAATTCACGAATTGAATGTTCGAACGTGAGAATACCAAATTGTAGAACCTATTCGTTAATTATTGTATACAATATAATTTGTTTTCCGGTGTTCCTTTCCTTCTGTAAAAGTTTTGTGTAAACTTTTCTACGATGATTGGGAAATTGCGAATTCTGACAAATTCCACAAGTAGAAAATTCCCGAATCGGATGTTGAAACGTGAGAATGTCGAAATTCGTGGACTCATTTGTCAATTATATCGCACAAAATAATAGAAATATTCTGTTGGTGAGAAAGTAATGTAAATTTTGACGACGTAACAGTAAATCAATTTACTACAATATTACTGTTTCGTTTAATCAATTACACTACCGGCCAAATGTTTGGAATCACTGTGCATCGCAAGTTGCACAAAAATCCTCCCAAAAAGTTAACATTTATAATAATTTTTTAACGAGTTTTTTATTATTCAAATCAGTCGACATGGGGTTAAGTACTAGGGTGGATTGAAAAGTTCACAGCCTAGGTATGAAGGATTGCAGCTAAGTGCTTGTAATTTTTACTAAATAATATGTAATTAATTGTGTACTAATTTATACAGTTTCGTGTCTCTGTCGTCATTTTTCTCCCTTTTGGAGCTAGTGAAGTAGAGGTATTTGCAGTAGATGGAGTAGAGATGGAGAAAATTAGAAAACGAACAGCGATCCAATACCTGAAGATAAAGGACCTCGCTTCAAAGATCATTCAAGGACCTTGCAAAAATTATTCGAAATTCTTGCGAAAATCATTCAAGGTCCTTGCGGTGATGTCCTTTGTCACCATGTACTGGATCATTCCTCGCTTCTATTCGTCTCTTCTCCGTCGCTGTAAACACCCCTACTTCACCAGCTGTAAAAGAGAGCCACGAAATTTCGTACGTCGGTACACAAATGATCACAGATTACACCGTAAAAATTGCAAGCACCTAGGAGCAGTTCTTCCCACTTAGGCCGCGAACTTTTCAATCCGCCCTCGTACTATTGATATCCACAGCATGAATTTGAAATCGGTAAAGAATTGAGCAGTTCTTCCCACTTAGGCCGCAAACTTTTCAATCCGCCCTCGTACTATTGATATCCACAGCATGAATTTGAAATCGGTAAAGAATTAGTAGCAGATTCAATGTTAATATAAATCGGCAGGTGATTCCAAACTTTTGGCCGGTAGTATATGTAATGCCCGTTGCTTTCTACGATTCCATTCACGCGTGCTTACATTTTTTGCATTGAAATAATTTTGCAACGATGAGAAAAACGGAGGTTGAAAATGTGGACAGAGGAACGTGGAAGGATGACAAATGAAATTTACCAGAGAATTGAAAGTAGCAGGTAGTCACGCGGCTATTGACAAAGCGGAAATGCGTTTGGTGGGAAATTAAAGAAAAATCCCGTGGAAGAGATGGAGTTAAAAAGGGAGAAGGACAGAAAAAGTAGGAGGAAGTTAAGGAACAGTCGTGAGAAGTCTAAACCAAGGGAACTTCGTAACGTGAACGAAAGAGGAAATTAAAGTTATGAATTGTGAAACAAAGACGGTACAAACTAATTACAGAAGTGAAATTGAAGTTATCAAAGATTAGATAAATTCACGATATCATGATTTCCTGAGAAACCGACAATGTCTGTGTCGTTTCTGTTGTTTCAAATGCAACCTGATGATTTTTCAATTTCAATCCATACCTTAACCGTTTGAATACCAGAGGTTTTTCAAAAAACACGGTCGAAAAAAGCCGAACAGCGCAATAGCGCTTTCTGTATGGGATGCGAAAAGATCGAAGCGGCGCGATGGCGCTCCTTTTATTCTGTGTCGAAAAATGCTAAGCAGCGCGATAGCGTTTCTTTTATAATTTATTATTCCGACATGAAATCTGAAGAGCGCGAAAGCGGCGCGTGGGACTCAAACGGTTAAGAGTATTTCACTTCTTTCTTATCTACTTGTCGTAACGTAATGTTATCGGTATTGAAAATTCTCCCAGTTATTGCTACTATTGCACCTCATCTGTATGATTTTTTGGGCCATTTTGAGATGAAAATAGATAAATACTAAGTATTATTTAATAGATTTTTGCTTCACGAGAGAATTTTTGTCATCATATTCACAGTCAAATTAGATCAAGCAATTTATGTAAGATTTCTCGTTTGCATATTTTTCAAGGCAACCATATTTTCCTGGTACGCCAAAGCCGAGTGATATTAAGACATACTTAAGCTTGGGAATATGTACTTATTAAAGTAGGTGACTAGCAGGTGAATCTAGACAGTTGATAAGACTTATCTCTCGCTCTATTTGAATGATCCAAACACACGTGTTATTTGCGTGTTACTCGTCTCAACTACGGATAATAGCGTACAGATAGATTCGAATTATTGGAAACTTAAAATTCGTTATATTCGATCGTCTATTCCTCTGATTGTTGAAGATTTTTTAATAAATGATTTACGCAATACTGGAAATAATATTTTCCTGAGTTTCAAAATGTTTGAACCGACGTTATAGCGCACTCGCTACACTTTGAACACCGCAGATGGAACCAGTTTCATTGTAATGTTTATTTTAAATTCGTTGAGCAAGGTGATCTCGATATAGTTCGAATCATGATAGGAGTTCAGCGTCTAACTTGAACCTGACAATATTTTCACGACACTTTGAGTATTTCAGGAGGAAATTTAATATTCTTAGCAGAGTGTTGGATACTTAGTATGTTTATTTTACGCCTATTACGATATTTGAGTGCATATGCATGTGTTTTTCATTGTAGAATTCATTTTTGCATTTAAAAATGGAGAGCTGAATAGGTAGAATTCCTGAAGAAAGATAGTTCTCCACAAATTTTAAGTGCTATCTTTTGAAAATCGTATTTTTTAAGGTATAGTGTGCAAGATTTTTCAAAAACTACGCCACCGATTGACTTGAAAGTTTGCATCATCGACGTGTGTATTTGTATCTAGGGCATACATCACGAATTTCTCAAAATTTTGAAACGATTCAAATGAAAACTATATGACAAAATGTCAGATGTTTGCCTGAGAAACTCAGACTTTCACTTTAAATTGACATCATTTCGTCGCTTTTCAGTATTTTGCAAAATGGTTTATGCTCTCTGTGTATTATTACTAAATCAAACTCTACTTGAATCTTTCACGCGAGCTACACGAAGAACCGACAAAATTACTACCTTCGAGCACGCCTTAAAGTTTCAAATCGAGCGAAAATCATTTTCTTCGAAACAACAATTTTTAAAGACTTTCGAAAATGCCCTTTAAACCCCATCAGCCCACGATCAACTCTCACGACAGACCGAACGAAGCACACCGGACCGTCGAATCCCCTAAGCACTCTAATCAATACAAAACAGCAATCTCTGAAATCACGTCTCACTCGTATTATCCGCGAAAACAAAACCACCCTAACCAGTCCGATCACTACGTAACCACTGTCACCCACCATAGACGCATTCTCACACTCTTCAGAAAACACCCTTCCCAACTATCACTTCACTATGGTACCACTCGCCCAAAAACTTTCTCCTACCTGAAACAACCCTATCACCGAACACTGTACAAAACAAGAACAACCTCCTCTAAATCAAGCAACGAACAACAGCTGCTACCCCTCGCAAGCAAGGAATCACTCTAAACGAGTCAGCAGTCATCCAGCAAGTCCCCGCGCAAGCAGAGTCAGCGATCAAGATAGACCCAGTGTTAGGAAGAGAAAGAGAGAGAGAGAGTGAGTGAGAGAGAGGAGGGCTTGTTGACTGTGTGTAAAAAGGAGACGAAAGCGAGCGAAACAGGGTTAGTAAAGACGAACGCGGCACCGCGGGTGCTCGAACGGTCTCGAGCTCTACCACGGTAGGGTGTGCGTGGGGGTGGCGGGGTGTATATACGTGGACTGAAAGGGAGCAGGGGTGGGGATGAGGATCGCGAAGATGTGACGCAGGGTAGGAGCAGCGGTGAGCGGCGAACGGTGACGCGCGCAGACTCGACTCGGCTCGTGCGTTTCCGCCGGCGCTCGGCCGGTGGCTCGCTCCCGATTGGCGACGCTAGCTCCGCCGGGGTGTGAGGAGCAGGGGGTAGCGTTTGAAAGCCGCGTATACGCGGCGACACGACCCGGCCGCGGCCGACGGTGGCGGTGGAGGCCTACGCGGGCGCCGCGAGAGAGACGCTGCTCTCAGTTGTGTCAAGCTAGGCGATCGAGTAGGACGCTCTTTAATCGTTCCCGCCTCCGAGTTACTCTCTCACGTACACACACACACCTCCCACACACACACTCTCTCTCTCCTTCTCTCTTTCTCGTTCCGTTACTACGTGCGGCGAAGGTCCACCGCGACACCCAAGCCTCCGAATCCAACCGAAACACACACGCACACGTGCACACAGGACAGACACACACACGACACACACGCGCGCGTGCACGACCGATATATGTATATATATCTCTCTTATTCGTGCTGCTCATCATCACCTCCTATCTCTCTTCGCCTTGCTTAACGCGAGCCACAGAGAGATTATACATCCCTGCCACCGTTCTTGTTTTCCTACCGTACCGAGAAAATTCTCTACAACCGCCCTATATCTACTTCTTCTTCTTCGTCATTATCCTAACTCTCTCGAAAACGGTGTCCACCTGGTCCTCCACCGATCGCCCGCGGTCTCTGTCGTCCGGCTTTACACCGCAAAGCACTCTGTTTACGTGGCTGGGCACGCGCGCGTGCCAGAGTCCAGCTCCTCGCGCCAAAGGACCGCCACTCGTGTCTTTCCGCCGCCGGTCAGTGATAACGCTCGGCACGTGATTCGCCGTGGTGGGTGCACGAGACAACCAGAGAGAGAGAGAGAGAAAGAGAGAGAGAGAGAGAGAGAGTCTATCTGCCGCTACACCGCCTGCTATTACTACTGCTTTGGCCCCCCTCTTGGGAGAGAGTCCCCTTACGGGACTGCTGCAAGCACCGAGCCACGTCTGAGCCAGCTGTCACGGAGAGAGGCGCATGCATATGCACCGTCTCTTTGATCACAGTCTCCTCCCCCACTGTCTGACCGTGTGTGTGTGTCTGTGTGTGTCGAAGCAGTGAGGGAACCGGTCAGAGAAAGGAGGAAAGGAAGAAACGGAGTGAGAGAGAGGGAGCTGGCAAGCAAGTGTTGTTCAAGGTCGCCCTCTCGTCGTCAATCGACTCGCTAGCCGTACGCCCCGTTGTGCAATCGAAGAAGAGAAAGGGAGAAGGAATCTGGAGCAGGAGGATCAGCCGAAGGAAGAGAAACGCTAGGACACGCGAGGCCGGGGGATTCGCGAGGATCAATCTCGTGAGATCGTCGGATTTTTCGATATTTTCCCGATTTGGTTACCGCGGCGGGCCGCGATTATTCGTGTCCGGGGCTCTAAGTCAGCCGACAAGTCGTTCGAACGTCGGAGTGAGAGAGGGAGAGAGAACGAGAGAGAGAGAGAAAGTACGAACAGAAAAAAAGACAACACGACGATCTCCCAAATTTCCTGTTTTAAATACTACCGCAACTCTGCTCCACCACCCCACACCCCACCAAGCCACCTCACCGTGTACAATCGTTAAGCGTAAAAAAAAAAAAAACGAAATCGTTGTTCTCCTAAGTAAGTATTAGGATATTAAAGGTATTAAGTATATAAGGCGAAAAGAGTAGGTCGCGCGTGAATCATGAGCGACCGAACGCACTAAAAAAGAGAATCGCGTCAAGACAATCAAGCACAGTAGTAGTGGGTTGGGCATAAATCGTGAGGAATCAAGAGGGCGTGAAAAGAGGGAGAGGCGGGAAGCACGCGGCGGTCTTTCCCCTCCTCTTGCGGAAAGGAAAGAAAAAAGAAGTATATATATTAAACGAGAAAGGGTAAAAAAAAAAAACAAAAATAAAAAAATAAAAAATCGTAAGGTTAAAAACACGCTCTTATATTATCGTCTACATAGATATATGTATATATATATATATATATACATACGATATATATTATATATATTTACACTTATATACATACGTTTATATGTATACACCCTTCGCACATATCCGATCGTTGGGCCGAGCCAGCTGATACGAATCGGTGACAGGAGCAAGGCCCGACCGTCTCTTCCCTGTCTGCCCCGATTTCCGGGGGCGTTCTCTGTCAATCTTCGTGACAATCATTTTTCACGTAGTTCTCTTAGCGTTTTACTACTACTACTACTACAACAACTACAAACTTCGACTCGACTAAGCGAGAGTCTCCTTTTTTGAAGGAAAACAAAGGAAAAGAGCAAAAAAAAAAGCGAGTAACAAAGAGGAAAATAATCCGAATCCTACACTCGGAGAAGAGAACAATCACTAATCCACGTACCTACGACGTTTCAATTAACGTGCGAGCGAGCCGAGTCGAGAGTCTTCTCTCACTCGCCTGTAATAGCGTGTGGTGTACCCTGTGTCCCCTATTTTTACCTCTTGCACTCTCGTGCCCCCGTAACCCTCCCCATCACTCTCGTGATCTAACCTGAGAAAACCTGTCTGAAAAAAAACTCGCTCACACACTTTGACAATCATCTTTGTATATCGCGGAGCTGTAGGGTAAAACTAACCGGTGTCTATATCCGCGCAACTTCAACGCTTGAAACGCGTCTTCAGCGGCCACCTTGGGTGTGTGTGTATGTCCGCTGTGTGTAGAGTAAGGATCTTAAACCTCGACAATCGTCGTTGTAATCTAGCGTGCAGCGCGCGCTCGTTAGCTTGTAAGGTGTAACAAACTTAACATCTCTCTCTCTCTCTCCCCCTTCCCCTTTCTCTCTCTCTCGCTCGCTGTCTCTGTGTGTATCGTTCGAACGACAATTCGATCAAGAGAACGAAATTCGATCAAGCGTTCGCGTGGTAATCGGAGAAACAGAGAGGCAGAAGATAGTCGCGCGTCGGCCTCGCGGTCGGCGAGCAACAGGGGGAACGACAATCAGGCAAACTGTGGTGGCCATCGTGCGAGTTAAGCCGACCGAGCAGGACGGAAGCTCGCCATCATCAGCCGGCCTTGGAACGTGGCTGGGCCGGTCAGGAACGCGGCGGCAGGTTCTTTTGGAGGCTGCACTCGTTGGCCGCGACAGCAGGCGGCCGCGGCCTCTTCGTACCCTCGGCTGCAGCAGGCGGCAAGTGCTGGCTAGCGGAGACGATCGCCGCGGACGAGGCACGTTCCTCCATCACCACGTATTTTCATTCGTACCCGTTTGTCCCGGGTGGTGCGACCTCTTCGCCGGCCAGCAGGCGTGTAACATAGGCTGCAGTTGTACCTGTACGAACATCGCCAATTGCAATCCGCACCACCATCAACACCATCACCATCAGCACCAACATCAGCAGCATCATCATCAGCAGCAACAGCAGCAGCATCATCATCGGCCACTCGCCACGACAACGGTCCTCCTGCAACCCGTCGAGCACATCAAAGACACCATGGTGAGTGTCAGATTGATTCTGGGGGTTCTTTGTAATGCACCAGCATGACTTATGTCGGTGGTGTGTGTATATACGGGGTGTTCACGCATTTCTGGGTAGTGTGAGAAGAAGATGCTTGAAATGCAGAAATTACAAAAATATTATCTTTTACGCGAGTAATCGGGGTCACTTTAATTTTTTTAAACGACACTGTATAACTTTTCACAGGTAGAGTACTGTAGGCGACGTTGAGGTAAATTCGGCGATGTGCAATGTCGGTACATTCGTAGGGCAACTTGTGGAGAAACATATTTTTAATGTAACAGGAGTGCTTATGAACGGTTATTTGGACGAACTCAATACGTCAAAGCAATCAAACGTGTATACTGATTCTTATGAGTGTATGCATTGCGGTCTTCAGATGTTCCATCTGTCAGAACGTCAATTCGTCCGAATAACGCATCCACTGTAACCACAGTCTTATGTGTTCGTAAGGACTACTATTACGTTAAAAATGTTTTTCTCAACAAGTTGTTGAACGAATGCGCCGATATTGTACATTCATTCGTCTCAATGTCGCCTACAATACAACGTAGAAAAAGTTGTACAGTGTTATTTAAAGAAATGAAAGTGACCCAAATTATTTGTGAAAAGAATAGTGTATTTGTGCAATTTTTATTTTTGTTACTTGTTGACGATCGAGCATCTTTTTCTCATACTACCAGAAGTGCCTGAAAAATCGTGGCAACTGTTACGCTGAACACCCTGTATACAGTGGGTGACCAAATTATTTTGGTCCGATGGAAAAATTACGTACTTTATGCTTCCGGTGGTATTATCACTTCGGTAATAGGAAAATATAGATAGACAATTTGATTACATTTTGACAGATAAGTAGGTTTAACCGAATAATGGAAAACTTAATTCTATACACCTAGAAAATAATAAAAAAAAAAGAAATTACTCATTTTTGGTACATGAAGTTGAAGGAAATGTGAAATTAGTATCGAAATTTGATTTTCTCGAAAATGAATTACGTTCTATATTTGCGACTTACTTTTAGGCGAGTAATCGCCTCCTAAGCACTCTAAATAATCGCAAACTCATTTCTACACGCCTAGGAAACGATTTCGTTAAAAAATGGAATTAGTCATTTTCGACACGTCAAGTTAAAAAAAGTGATATTCGAGAAAGATCTTCCATGTAACGACTTCCACGATAGAATTTCAAGAATAAGCTCTTCAAAAATCTACTCTTTCGGTAGATGTCATCTTCGGTAATTAATCACTCAATTCAGGTACAAAACTAACAGCTTTTGACGAAGCGTGTCTTTCTTAAAAGAGGTAGACTTCGTTCATTTCTGCGGAACTGCAGTAAAATTCCCGTACCCATTTGTACCTAATTACATCGTCTGTTCCCTCAAAGAAGCCCAGAACAACAAGTTCAGCAATAAATCAGTATCAAATCTGTAACGCCATTGGCACCTGTCGTATCGTTTCCAGAACCAGAAGCAACTTAATTCAGCAACGATTGGAACTCGATTGGCGTGTCGATTTTCATTTCTAATTGCACGAAAATCTCCGCTCGCGAGTATCGAAATAATTCTATTTCCCTGTCGAACCACGTAACGCTGACTCATCGTCAGGAATCCTCCGTAAAACCAATTACTCTGTGCTCCAAACAAATCCCTGGACAATCTTTCCGGTCAACAGGCGTCCACTTCGTCCTATCGCAGGCCATAATTTCCAGTGTTCCTTGAGTGGATACGTGTTCGATCGTCTGGCGCGAGAATTTCACGGGAATCGACTCGACGGATGGAGTTTCCACGCGGAGTTGCAACTTTCGAGCGGCGGTTTGGTCCCGAGACGCGTCTTCCAGGTGCAAACCTCGCGTTAATATCGTTCCCCGTCGCATAAATTAGCAGCGGTTTCCCCGGATGTCCATTTGTCCGCCGCCACAAAGCACCAAGCAGCTTTTACGACGCGATTCTCCCCCGACGACGGTCAAATGGTTAACCATTCCATTCGACGATTGCTCATATTCGAACGACAGGCTCGAGGAATTGCGGAACTGGTGCTGTTGCGTGGCTGAAGATCGATTCGTAACGTTGCCGTTGGGTTTTCGCGTATTTGCCATTGGAGTATTGGGTCGTTGGATGTTAGTTCGTGGTGTCGTGTACTCGCGTCGGTTTGCGTTCTGTTGCAGACTTGGATCACGAGAGAAAAAAAATTCGGATAATTTTTAACGAGGCCTGAAGCGGTCACGGAGTACTTTATCTCGAACGTTATGGTACATATAAAAAACTAGGTTGATCGTACAGTGCTTGGACTGATTGAATACCTGGTTGCTTGTTGGTTGGCGTTCGGAACAAGACTGGTTCGAAATTCGGAAGAGGACATGCATCTAAGTTACCGAAGGCGGAGTTCAATTTGGGAGGTGAAAAAATGGGAGAATATAGAAAATCGATTATTGGTCGTAGGGTGTTTCTTAAGTAGATGGAGAGAGGGTAAAAGTGGTGGTAGAAGGATGAGGTGTCTGCGGATTGGGAAATTCCGGAAAAAAAGGAGATCGGACATGAAAGAAGGAAAGTACTACCTTAATAATTAGGAAGTCGGAAGAATAGATCGTAAAAACGAGTCTTGAAAACGCCGTTCGTTTGTGATTTTACCGAGAGTACGCGTCTCTAACCGTCTCGGCTAATCCTATGGGCCGCGGGATCCTTCAGGTCTGTTTTACAACTGCCTTGAAATTTTAAACTAAAGAAAAGAAAATGTTCGGTACGGAACACGTGGTGTCGTCGTGTTTCTGAGGAACACTTGGGAGTAGTACTTGTTGAATTGATTAGGATGGCGTGTCAAGGTGATTGCAGTTGTTCGTGCAATTGTAACGTATGAAAGTATGCAAGACACGTGAGAGTAACTTAAGTAAAACGAACTTCAATCTGATTCTTAAGATATTGTTCGATTAATTAACGCTTACTTTACAATCACACTTAGCCCTTTCATTACTATTGGCGCCTGTAGGCGTTTTGAAAATTTGCTCGAATTAGTAGCCTTTTGACGCACTTCCGGCTTAATTTTATTCTTTAAGCGCTTCAACTTGAACCCTTCGACAGTCAAATAAAATTATGAATTACGGTAAAAAAAACTTATATTTCACACGTATCTTTTTAATAATTAACGTCAGGTGTGATTATTTTTAAGAGAAGGGATACACAACCCTACGTCGTACTTATGACAATAACATCTCGTCCCTTTTTAACTTTCCTCCTAAGAGTCTCCCTTGAGTGAAAGAGTTAAATATTTGACACTTTGCCCGAATCTCGCACGGGATAAACGGTCGAAGGGTTAATTTAACGAATCGAGCTTTAAAACGGTACAGCCGAAATAGGAAATTTTGCAGCGGTGGTTAAAAGTTTTATCAGTTACCCAAGTTCGGCGTTAAAATCTGTCGTAGCGAAAGCATAAATCCTTTTGTTTATACAAACACTAATACCCTAACGTTTTTTCTCATCGACGGTTATTATTTAAATGGCAGTAACTTGAAACTTTCATCGTTTTCCCCATTTCTAAATATTAAGTCACCCTGAAAGTTCCCGCGGTTTTAAGCCGTTCATTGTGAAAAAAGCATAATGAAATGAAACATTTTTAGCTCAAATAATTTCTATAATGTTCGACACACTTTTGCCAACGTATCGCGAGAGCATTAATTCCGCGTATATAAAATCCCAGCCTCCAAGAGAAAAAGAAACTGCTGAAAGACTAAATCGTTTTTGTGCAAGGAAATTGTCAAGTGAGCGGAAAATGTGAAAATCGGGGGAATTCGGTGTAAACTAGGATTGAATCAGAGAGGATACCTTTGAATCTTTCTTTCTCTCAGAGATTCGGGTTTTTATGCATTCATTACGAATTCATTGGCAAAAGTGTGTCGAAATTGATCGAAATTGATCAAATTGACGCGTGAACGAAACCGCATATTTTCTTTAAAAAGCAGGTTATTTTATTTAAAAACAACGTATACACTATTAACTTCTAAATAAATGATAATACGAGCAATATATTTATATCAAATTTATAATAAGCATAAGTGTCTAGGAGAGAAATGTAAACGGTTTCTGTAATTGTCCAAGTGAAATTCGAAATGCGTCAAAATGACGCGTCCCGTAAACCTAGTGTTAATTTCAATGTAGTTACGTTTCTTAACCCCTTAACCTACGATTTCTTTTCTGACTACGCATCTAAGCGTCAGCCATTTAATGCTTTACTACTGTATCAGGTAACGAAAGCTAATTTGTCACAGATTAATAACACTTAGTAATCCTCAGTGTTACAAATTGAAACGTAAGTTAGGACTACGATTAATATAACCATTTTTCTCACATCTTGTCTAAAATTTCTGTCAGGAGACTGAAAAAAAAAACCTGAATTCTACCAAAAAAAAAAAAAAAGAAAAAAACCAACAAACAATACATCCTTTATATATTGAAATGTCATAGTAAGGCGAAAAAAATGGATCTTTTTTTCCCCTTGACTCTTCAATTCATTCGACGAATTCGTTTCACCAGCTCAACGTCTCCGTACACCACGCTCTCTAGGGCTTCGAGCATTGGTTCCTTTCCGAACGAGTCGATAAGAGACACGTATAAATTTCGAATACGATTCCACAGGCAACTTTGGCGCGACGAAATCGCGCGCGGGCGCGTAAATCTTGCCGGCAACGGTGCATTGAAACGGGCTGTCAAGAGGCAACGACCGTTCCCCTAGCTCCTCGAGCGTGACGTAAGCTCCATTCGTCGCGAGGCTCGCGAAAAAATCCCGAGACGCGACGATTCCGCGAGCTTTCGACGCGGCGGGCTCGCGGCGGAACACGGTTTCCCTTCTTCCCTCTGCCCTACACCCCTTTCTCACGGCGAGAGGCGTTGTGAAATGCTTTCACCGTGTCGATTCTCTCGCCTTTCGAGGATTTTTTTAAGAAAATCTGCACCGACGTGTGTTCGGTGAAAAGATCAGAATTCGAGTTCT